GTTACTGTTATACACCTCAACCAGTGCGGCGTCACAGTGCTGCTCCATTAGTGAAATATTTTTTTAAATAACTTTTATTTTCATAGTAACTTTGAATATTTTTGGCCAAGACACTGTCTGGTAGCAGCATCAATCGTTCTGGAGGTGTTAAGAGGAAGAAGGTTGTCCTAGCAATTAAAGACAAGTTATGTGTTGTTCAACCAGTGAGGCGTCACAGGCAGCCAAATGCCTTCAACAAGTGAGGCGCCATAGGCAAGCCAAGCGCCTTCAACAAGTGAGGAGCAAGCAAGCAAGCGCCTTCAATAAGTGAGGCGCCATAGGCAAGCCAAGCGCCTTCAACAAGTGAGGAGCAAGCAAGCAAGCGCCTTCAACAAGCGAGGCGTCACAAGCAAGCCAAATGCCTTCAACAAGTGAGGCTTCACAGGCAAGCCAAGCGTCTTCAACAAGTGAGGACATGCAAGCGCTTCAACAAGTGAGGCCCATGCAAGCGCCTTCAACAAGCGAGGCCTCACAGGCAACCCAAATGCCTTCAACCAGTGAGGCTTCAGCAGCTGGCAGTCAAAACTAACTTTGCTTAATGAACTATACAGTAATTTTAAGTGTTGTGTTAGTATAGGTTACGTAAATTGTTAAGAATTCTTAACTTCAAGATGTGTGGCATCAATCAAGAAGACGAACACCAACAAAGTAAGTTGAGGTTTCTAGTTGAATATTTAATAATTATATGTGGCAAGGCAATTCAAATTATGTTGTTTGTAGTATAAAAGTAGTTGGAAATTGTCACTTTTGGACTCGTAGGTGAAAAAGTACCATTATCCGAAAAATGTGATAATCCGGCTGGGGGTCCTTCCCATATAGTCCGTATGATCGAGTGGAGACAGTAATAGTGAATAATTATTCTTCCACGTGCTCCATAGTGCTCAGCCAACTAATAACGCGTCGATAATTAAAGCCAAAACTCACAAATACGCGTACAACGACGTGAACGTTTGGGACTGGCAGACGCGATATCGTAGACTTCAGTAGTACCTACACTCACGTTAAGTATAGTTTCTTTCTTGATGCATCATTTAAGATCGTATATTTGTGAGAAGTCTGTCTTTACATAGTGAGACGACCCCATATCCAATGTTAGTACCACATCGGCATTTCTTCTATTTTCATGAATATTGAGATTAAAAGTAGCCTATTCCAATGCTACTTAATATTCTTTAATTTTCAGCTCGTATGTGAGGAGTCATCGAGTCGTTTTCTTCATTCGTGTTATTCACCTCTAATTCCTTCTATGTGGAGATCCTGAGATCATGAGGACGAATCACAAAACGATGTCATAGAAATCGTCTTAAAGCTAAGACTCTTTGTACACATTTAATTCCTCCAATTTAATTCTTATACAAATTTTGTAGGATCATTATATTAAATATTATTACCAGATATGATGATTGGAAATTCATGTGTTTGCTTAGACGGTTGCTCCGTAATTTAATAATCATTAATATTTACAATTTGAGTTTACATATTTGAATCTACAGCATTTTAGATCATATTATTATTTACTCAGCAATGAACTGGTGACGAACCACACTAGTTCCTAGACGTATATGAAGTTCTAGTAATACCCCCCAATGTAGGTGTTTGAGGCTCTGACTTTAGTTAATTAATCATACAGTCCATTCATTATTTCAAGTGATTATCCTTTCTAATAATTGTCCATAGACACTAGTTCCCTAGTGTTATTCTAATGATCACTTTTATTAGTTTTCCCTCTTTTCTCAAAAGTGGGTGGTCCTTCGTTATCAAATTAAATCAGTAAAAATTGAATAATTGAGTCAAGCCCCAGATATCCCACACCTGTAGCTCCAGCCCCCTCAACTGGCAGGGGGTTGGTGCTAGACCTGTAGCTCCAGGTCACCTCTACTGGCAGAGGGTTGGTGCTGGACCTGTAGCTCCAGCCTCCCTCAACTGGCAGGGGGTTGGTGCTGGACCTGTAGCTCCAGCCCACCTCTACTGGCCGGGGGTTGGTGCTGGACCTATAGCTCCAGCCCCCCTCTACTGGCAGGGGGTTGGTGCTGGACCTGTAGCTACAGCCCCCCTCTACTGGCAGGGGTTGGTGCTGGACCTGTAGCTCCAGCCCCCCTCTACTGGCAGGGGGTTGGTGCTGGACCTGTAGCTCCAGCCAACCTCTACTGGCAGAGGGTTGGTGCTGGACCTGTAGCTCCAGCCCCCCTCAACTGGCAGGGGGTTGGTGCTGGACCTGTAGCTCCAGCCCACCTCTACTGGCAGAGGGTTGGTGCTGGACCTGTAGCTCCAGCCCCCCTCAACTGGCAGGGGGTTGATGCTGGGCCAGTAGCTCCAGCCTCCCTGTTCTGGCAGGGAGGTTGGTGCTGGACCTGTATCTCCAGGACGCTTCTACTGGCAAGGGGTTGATCCTGGACCTATTGCTCCAGCGCGTCTCTATTGGAAGGGGGTTGGTGCTGGACCTGTAGCTCAAGCCCCCCCATTACTGGCAGGGGGTTGGGGCTGGACCTGTAGCTCCTGCCCCCTTCTACTGGCAAGGGGTTGGTGCTGAACCTGTAGCTCCAACCCTCCCCTCTACTGGCAGGAGGTTGGTTCTGGACCTGTTGCTCCAGCGCCCCTCTATTGGCAGGGGGTTGGTGTTAGACCTATAGCTCCAGCCCTCCCCCCCTCTACTGGCAGGGGGTTGGTGCTAAACCTGTAGCTCCAACCCCCCCCCCCTCTACTGGCAGGGGATTAGTGCTGGAACTGTAGCTCCAGCCCCCCTCTACTGGCAGGGGGGTTGGTGCTGGACCTGTAGCTCCAGCCCCCCTCTACTGGCAGGGGGTTGGTGTTAGACCTGTAGCTTCAGCCCGCCTCTACTGGCAGGGGGTTGGTGCTGGACCTGTAGCTCCAGCCCACCTCTACAGGCAGGGGGTTGGTGCTGGACCTGTAGCTCCAGCCCCCCTCTAATGGCAGGGGGTTGGTGCTGGACCTGTAGCTCCAGCCCCCCTCTACTGGCAGGGGGTTGGTGCTGGACCTGTAGCTCCAGCCACCCTCTACTGGCAGGGGTTGGTGGTGGACCTGTAGCTCCAGCCTCCCCTCTACTGGCAGGGGTTGGTGCTGGACCTGTAGCTCCAGCCCCCCTCTTCTGGCAGGGGGTTGGTGCTGGACCTGTAGCAGCCCGGTGCTGGACCTGTAGCTCCAGCCCCCCTCAACTGGCAGGGGGTTGGTGCTGGACCTGTAGCTCCAGCCCCCCTCTACTGGCAGGGGGTTGGTGCTGGACCTGTAGCTCCAGCCCCCCTCTACTGGCAGGGGGTTGGTGCTGGACCTGTAGCTCCAGCCCCCCTCTACTGGCAGGGGTTGGTGGTGGACCTGTAGCTCCAGCCTCCCCTCTACTGGCAGGGGTTGGTGCTGGACCTGTAGCTCCAGCCCCCCTCTTCTGGCAGGGGGTTGGTTCTGGACCTGTAGCACCAGCCCTCTCAACTGGCAGGGGGTTGGTGCTGGGCCTGTACCTCCAGCCCCCCTCTACTGGCAGGGGGTTGGTGCTGGACCTGTAGCTCCAGACCCCCTCTACTGGCAGGGGGTTGGTGCTGGACCTGTAGCTCCAGCCCACCTCTACTGGCAGGAGGTTTGTGCTGGACCTGTAGCTCCCGCCCCCACCTCTACTAGCAGGGGGTTGGTGCTGCACCTGTAGCTCCAGCCGACCTCTACTGGCAGGGGGTTGGTGCTGAACCTGTAGCTCCCGCCCCCTCTACTGGCAGGGGGTTGGTGCTGGACCTGTAGCTCCAGCCCCCCTCTAATGGCAGGGGGTTGGTGCTGGACCTGTAGCTCCAGCCCCCCTCTACTGGCAGGGGGTTGGTGCTGGACCTGTAGCTCCAGCCACCCTCTACTGGCAGGGGTTGGTGGTGGACCTGTAGCTCCAGCCTCCCCTCTACTGGCAGGGGTTGGTGCTGGACCTGTAGGTCCAGCCTCCCCTCTACTGGCAGGGGGTTGGTGGTGGACCTGTAGCTCCAGCCTCCCCTCTACTGGCAGGGGTTGGTGCTGGACCAGTAGCTCCAGCCCTTACCTCTACTGGCAGGGAGACTGGTGCTGGTCCTTTAGCCGCAGCCCCCTTCAACTGGCAGGGGGTTGGTGCTGGACCTGTAGCTCCAGCCCCCCTCTACTGGCAGGGGGTTTGTGCTGGACCTGTAGCTCCAGCCCTCCCCCCCTCCCCCTCTACTGGCAGGGGGTTAGTGCTGGCATTGTTTGGGAGTTTGTGGCAGTTTTAAGGCTTCAGTCTCTTTGTACCCAGCAGTGGTCTGATTTGGTTCGCTGTCTTCCTAGATTCAACGTCCTCCCAGCGAGCATAAGAAATATTGCCAGAACAACCGTGGACATCTCCAAGAGGAAACTAGATTGTTTCCTCCAAGGAGTGCAGGACCAACCGGGCTGTGGGGGATATGTGGGCCTGCGGGCCGCTCCAAGCAACAGCCTAGTGGACCAAACTCTCACAAGTCTCTCAAAAGCCTGGCCTCGGGCCGGGCTTGGGGAATAGAAGAACTCCCAGAACTCCCTCAACCAGGTATCAACCAGGTATGCTTTCTCGATAGGTTGGTGGAGTGTCACCCGCTCTCTGCGCCTCTGTGACGGGGTCAGGATCCCGGGTTCAATAGAGGATCACAGGTTCAATCACCATGCAGGCCAGAAATAGTTAACCTGTTTCCTGTTGTCTGTTGCCTTTCACCTATTGCCTCTGTTCACCTACCAGTAAATATCTATCCAGGAATTAGTCAACTATTGTAGATTGTATATTAAGGAAAGTCAGCAGTTGACCTTGGGGAACTCCGATAAACCTAAGAACAGGCTTCCTCTCCTCTAAACGCAACTCAATATCTTGTGATATGACCTATGAGAGAAAATAAAAAACTTACTGTTAATTGCTTCTGGGGGATCTCTTCAGTGATTTCCTGAACTTTATTCATGATGCTGGAGGCTGAGTCTCCCAGGTGTACGGGGTCAGCTGTGGCACCTGTCTCTGTGGTCGTCATTTCCAGGGCCTCCCTGATGGTCTCCTGCACCTGTCATTACCAACACAAACATTAATGTGGAACCTGGACTATAATGAAGCATCAGGCTCTCAGTAAAGTAAATGGACTATAATGAAGCATCAGGCTCTGAGTAAAGTGACTGGACTATAATGAAGCATCAGGCACTGAGTAAAGTAACTGGACTATCATGAAGCATCAGGCTCTGAGTAAAGTAACTGGACTATAATGAAGCATCAGGCTCTGAGTAAAGTAACTGGACTATAATGAAGCATCAGACTGAGTAAAGCAATTTGACAATGTAAGTAATGTTTCTCTACACTGACCACAGTGTAGAGAAACACCAAGATGACAGCTGACTTTATTAATAAAAATGTTTCATGTGTTAGAGCAAAAAGTTTCCTATATATAAAGTCAACTCTCATCATGATGTGTCTCCATGTCAAAAGTGTTTATATAGAGGCAATACTACACTCAGTTGGGTGAGAACAATGTGACCTTCAGCAACCTACCTTCACTGAGGTGTGGACAGTCTTGACATCTGGGAAGAGTTTCTGGCACTTCTTGAGCCAATTTTCTACCTCCATGTTGCATTGGTCAACTTCATTGATAGTCATGAATACTTCCTGCGCTGTGTTGACTGTGTCGAGGCTCCCCAACATGGTTTGCAGCTGAGTCTTCCCTTCCTCTCCTTGTGTTGTCATATCCACCACACTGGTGTCCTCCAGTTCCAAGAGCTTCATTGCTGACTTGTTCTGCTCTACCAGAGCATAGAGTCTGTCCTGGAGCTGGAGGTGGCGAGTCTTCCAGTCCCCCAGCTGCCCCCGGTACTCCCCCAGCTGGGACAGCACCTCTTCACAGCTAGTAATGAGGCTACTGATGCTGCTCTTCTGCTCCTCCACCATGGAATGTAACTTCTTGCTGATTCCTCTTGCAGGAGCTTTAATGGGTTTTGCTGTTAACGTTTTCTCTGGTACAACCTCGATACCTTTTAGTTTTCTGATAAGGGCCTCCATACCATAATTAATTGGGAACTGAGTAGCAGCTGTGGCAGCATGCTCGGCAAGGCAGCTGGGGCTGGTCAGCTGCCCATTCTTGATAGCATTGTCAATATACTGGGAGCAGAATGTGTGTCCGCAAGGCTGTGTGCGAGGCCGTAGCTGATTGTCATCATAATTGTTAAAACACACTGAACATTCCTCTGGGTTGTTATCCTGTGGAAAAAAATATTTGGTTAAGCTAGAAAAATTTACAACAAAAAGCAATATTACAGTACTGTACTGTATTTACCGATACAAATTACATAATATTTACATAATTTCTTTGTACAGAGGAGCCTCGGTGTTTGCACTGCTAATAATTCGCACTTTTCGGTATTCAGACGCTGTGTTCATGTTCGGTATTCGTCTGTTTGCTCGACATTCAGATGTAAACACGCGTCCCTGATGCATCAGTTTCACCATAGCTGTTGGTCAGTGCACAACCTACTACACTTTTCTCTTGGATATTTTTTATATTCTTATTGTAAATAAGTCACCATGACACCTATGAAAGTTTGTGATATGAGCCTAGCAAAAAAAAAATGGTTAGAATCACGATACAGATGAAGAAAGAACTCACAGCTAAATATGAGAGTGGTACCTGAGTGACAGCTCTTGTTACAGAGTTTGGTATGCCTAACTCTAGTTCTCTAATAAAAGAAATGTGTGCAAAATGAGGGAAAGTGCCAACCTTTTCTTGAAATTATCATCTTGACAAACTGTGTTATAAATCTGTTGAATGACAATGCTATGTCTCACTTTAAAAACATTTTAATGCACAGGCAAAAACAATCATCCTTGGACAAGTTTCTTGTAAGGAAAACATTCAGTGAGTGTAATGAGGGAAACAGAAAAAGACAGAAAAGAGAAAGAACATCAGAAGCACAACTTCCAGAAGTTTTAATGTTAGGGAACTCCCCTGCCAAAGAACATCTCTCTTCCTCTGCCTCATTAGTTTCCATATATGCCATCAACTCTCCGAAGTACAGGTAAAGTGTAGTGTGTTAGCATTTATTCCATTTAATTATTGTATAACTATACAGTATTTATTTTTGTGGTTTGGAACTGATTAATCCATTATACATTATTCTTTACGAGCTGTACTTGGCCACACGTTACTGTGGCTCAACAACACATGTGCGTTGTTGAGCCACAGCAACCTTTCCTGTCTCCCAGTCCTCCCCACCATTCCCCAGTCCCCTCATCCTCCCAACCATTCCTCACTCCCCCGTCCCCTCGTCCTCCCAACCATTCCCCACTTCCCCGTCCCCTAGTCCTCCCCACCATCTCCTCCTAACCATTCCCCACTCCACCATCCCTTCGGCTTCCTAACCATCTCTCACTCCAACTCATCCGCCCGACAATTCCCCCCCTCCCCCGTCCCCTTATCCTCTTCACCATCACCCACTCCCCCTGTCCTCTAGTGCTCCCCACCATTCTCCATTCCCCGGTCCCCACGTCACCATCCCCAACTCCCCATCCCCTCATCCTTCCCATCATTACCCCCTCCCCTGTCCCCCCTCACCATCCCCCCCCCCACTCCCATCCCCTCGTCCTCCCCACTCCCTCGTCCTATGCATTCCCAAATGATCTGATGTTCCCATTAGAAAATTGGGAACATCAAATGATCTGATGTTCCCATCACTGAAATATAAGAAAAACAGTTAAAAAAAAAAAAACAAAATGAAAAAAAAAAAAAAAAAAAAAAATCTATACTCACAAAATTAACAGAATGATTAACCCTCAAACCGCGAATATCATATATAAATGATATCAGTGACAAAACCGAAACCGCGCACATCATTTATATATGATTTCGTGTCTAGCGCTATAATTTAAACTCTCCGCCTGGGATAGGGGCAGCTATAGTACAGCCACGACCGATAGTTGCCAGATGCCACCTAGAAAAAAAATCCAGGCCAACATTCTTGGGTGTTACAGCGTCAGTATTGAGCAAGCCACCAAGGCTGGCGCACGCAGCACGAGCTCACAGCACCGCTGTTCAGCTTGTGACCACAGCATCGCCTACAAATACCATAATATATATGATACTGCTATTATTTAGCAGTGATAGTATTACTGAAGCCCCCTGACTGTGATAAAACTGACCAGGATTCTGATAATAGCAGGATTGTGGTGATATTTAGCGCTGTGCTCCATGGAGGGAGGAGTAAGGTTGTGGGAGGGAGGGGTGTGGCGTCGTCTTCTGACTGTGTGTGGCCACCATTTATTGACTGCACTCACCATACCAGCTTAGTGGTTCGATATGGTGAACACAAATGTAGATACTTATATATAACGTGTGTATAGTGTTAGATAACAGCGAGAGGAGTAGGTTGGGAGCCGCCATTTTGGTGAGGGAAGAGCGTCGTCTGCACGTCTTGGCATGGTGTTTACTGATGGCCACTATGGTCTTTGGGCACCATACCAGCTTATTTGTACAGGTATAGTGAATAAAACAGGTAGATACTTATATATAATGTGTGTATATAGCGTAATAACACCACAAACAATATTGTTGAAGGACAAATATTAGTGCGTCTGGCCTTGAGGGCGGCCGCCGATCAGCTGACTGTGTGAGTAGGTACGTCTTTGTGGCCTTTACTCACCATACAAGCTTAGATGTACAGTTATGGTGAACAAAACATGTAAATACGTATATATAACGTCTGTGTATAGTGAATAAATACAGAAAGAGTATTGTGGGGGGTGAATGAGGGTGAATGAAGTGGTGTTGAGGGAGGGAGTGGCAGTGAGTGGCTCGCTGGTGTTTGGCGGTCACTCCTCGTTGCTTTTTGACTCACAAGACCAACTTAGTAGTTCGTTATGGTGTACAAAACATGCAAATACTTATATATAACCTGTGTATATAGTGTAACAACAGCAAAACTATTTGTTTATTCTTTTATGAACATAATAATTGAATCACTAATATGCACACCATAATTTTGAGTACAGCGATGGTTCACACATTTTATAATATAAATATACCACAATTCACTGTATGGAATAATATTACTGCAAAAAACTAAGAAAAAATCAATCAGAGACATTGAAATAATTAGGTAATAATATATTTGTGGCAACTGCCGTCTAACAGCTCGGGCGGAGTAGACCTCATCTGGCGAAGGCTCTGCCAACGCCCCTTTTTTGCCACACTTCCCTACCCTATTGCGGCTAAAATATGCCACCTACGATTTTTTTGTTATTTTTTCCGTGATCAGGGAAAATAAATGAACACTTCTATAAGACGAAAGAATTTTTTGGAATTTTTTTTTTTGTTGCGCCTGTGGGTGTGAATTCCATTTGGGCCCCTAGCTGTTTGAGGGTTAAAACACAGCTCAATTCCAATGCCATGTCACACAAAATAATTACTGTAGACACTTGATTATCCGGGATTCGAATATCTGGAAAACACCCTTATACGGTCAAAATCGTGACCGGATAAAGTTATCTCAATATCCGGCCAAAATGTCCATAGGAGCCAGAAAATCAGGTGTTTGTCCGGATAAAAATCTGGGCCGGTTAACTTGCTGCCGATGTTGCAATATCCGGACAGTCAGCCAGACAAGGAATGAATTGTCTGGATATGAAAGCCAGGCTGCGGGCCGTACCATATTAATCCCGTACGGCTGTGGCTCGAGGCGCATGGTGTAGGAGGGGGTGGGGTGGGTGGTTGGTATCGGGAGAGAGGGGAGCGTTGGGAGGGATAACCTGGGGGCTAAGGGGGATGTGGAGCGGCCTATACACTACGGTACAGTAATTACCATTAATTTTAGAACAATTCATCATAGCCAAAAACAAAAGAAATACTAGAATACTAAATATATTTTCCAGTGTTCCGACATCAATTTTCATGTTACGTCTTCCATTTTGGTATCAAATTGTGCGCAATCTAAAGGCACATATTTTAAAACTAGTCCCATAATAATAAAACAATAAATAGAATTTTAACAAATATTTTAACTTTTGGACACTTTAACGCTCATCACCACAAAATTATTTATATCTTTACAGTGTTCTGACAACAATTTTCATGTTATGTCTTTCATTTTGGCATCAAATTGTGTGCAATCTAAAGGTGCTCATTTTGAAACCACACCCAGATTGATCAGTTAAAATTTTAATTTTTAACAAATATTTTAATGGATGATTTCAGACCGCGTCATCCGAGACGGCCCAGGAGAAAAATGGATGTCACTGGAAAGCGACATCGAAGCGTGAAAGTGTTATTAATACACTCACCAACACAGGTTAGTCACAACTGTTATGAGCCACCAGTCCCTCATAATATCCACCCCACCCAGTATGAGAATTATAGTATTTCATAACTATACCATGTTTGGACTGGCTTATAACCCATTAATATGCAATACAGCATGTGTAGTTAGGTAGGTAGTACTGAATTTATAAGTGTTTCAGGCTCTCCAGACAACAGTATTAACATAAACTCCATGATTTGCTCATCATCAGCTCTACTGAACTGCCTGAAGAACAAGGTCAAAACTGTTCAAGTGTAGCCCAACAACTGATTACGTCAGAGATAAACTTTAATGATACTATTAAATCTATCAGAATAGATAAAAACTATCACCATAGCACCAGACAGATGCTCACTAAACTAGCTTATCCCAATGATAAGTAAGACGTCATTCAAGCAGCTACAAATATAAAACCAATCTTTATAATAATGAGTGCCTTACCAAGCAGCGTTGATCCTCCTCTACAGACATCATATTATATTAATGAGTGCATCATATATATATTAATGAGTGCCTTACCAAGCAGCGTTGATCCTCCTCTACAGACAGCATCATATTCACAAACAAACCCCAAATCTTATCAAGCAGTGCTACACCAGGAATGGAACGATCATTGCTAAGAAAGAACATGCAAAAGACATGAAATCAAAAGTGTCCAACAATTACTTACTTTCTTTGTTGATTGTGACAGAACTGGAAGTCAGCGAACTTCCAATGTCATTGCTGAGAGTAACACATGAGTGACCAAGCCTTACTGAGAGTAACACATGAGTGACCAAGCCTTACCTAGCCTAATCATATTTAAATTTTTTTTTTTTTTATATTTGTATATTAGTTACTAAAGGCTTCTTTATATTATTGGCTTCATTTACATGTAATTTATCCTCTTATAATTGTTACTACAAACACTTC